AAAAAAAAAAAAAAGGAATTAAAAAATTCCGAAAAACAAAGTATGTTATGGAGAAAACTAAACTAAACAACATTTGCCTTGACACTACATTCAAATTCTGTACCAAATTTGAATTAAAAATCAAATACAGAAAATAAACACTATGATAAAAATAAGAAAAAATAAAGAGAGAATTAAAATGAGTGAGTGTGCCAGGACATTTTCGACACCGCCATCTTTGCCGTTTTTTAATTATTTTTTGGAACTGACAAATGCCCTGAAAATTTACAGATATGTAGTTTACATAATCAATAACTCATTAAAAAATTTCCAAAAAAAAACAAAATTGTTTAGGCCCCGGAATCAAGTGAAAACAAAAAGTTAAAAGTGAAAAAAAACAAAATATTGAGTGGGCGAGCACGTTTTGATACCCCCATCTTTGACGATTTTTAATGTTTTTTTGGCTTAGCATAATGGCTTCAAAATTTATAGGCATGTAGGTTACATAATAGAGAACGCACAAAAATAAATTAAAAAAACAAAACGTATCTTCACGCCCCGAAATGTTTTTTGGCGGGGGCCAACCTGGAGGTGTTCTTTCCCCGAACGCCCAAACATTCGGGGGCCAGCCCGCGGGCCCCCGAACATTCGGTCAGGTAACCCTGTATATATACATATATATATATATATATATACATAAATATATATATATATACATATATATATATATACATATATATATAGATAGATAGATATATATGCTAGCTTAGCGCCTGGGGTGCGGGCAGTGTGACATACGCACGCAACCAAAAAGCGAGAACTTACATGCCCATCGGGAAACGACTTGCCCACCGGAAAACGAAAAGAAAATAAAAAATAAAACGACACGACACACTCACCAGGAAACAAAAAGAAAAGAAAAAAAAAAGCGGAAAAAATAAGAAAAAAAAAAAAAGGAACGACACGCCGACCACGAAACAAAAAGAAAACCAAAAACGAAAAGCGGGAAACAACAGGCCAAAAACAAAAATGCTAAATGAAAAAAAGGCCGCCCACTTATCAACGACAGCGGTCTCAAGATATTCCCTCACATCTATGGCTGCTGCTGCCCGTCCTCCTCAAAACTTCGACCCAAATTCGGCGTGCAGCGGACCATCGACCTCCCCCCCCGGCCAATGCTGCTTAAGGGGTAGGATATATATTTATAGATAGATAGATAGATAGTTACTGAGGATATGCAGTTCGATACACGGTACCTAGTAAATAACACAACCTTTGGGCTTGCATATAGGCAACTATATACGTTGCTGTTAAAAAAAACATCATACTCCTAGGTCTGGGGAGGTATAGTAATAGGGGTTTCTCTAAGATCAACTGATGTTGATGATAGGCGTTCCGATGATAAGTACCCCACAATAAATCAGCTTGACTGTGCGTGGGTGAGAAAAGGGCGTAAATTAGTTAGACTGTGTATGGTTGAGTAGAGGACGTGAGTTACTGATCGAACATGTTCAATGATGGGATTAGACTCTAGGGGTAGGATATAATTCACTCCAGTTAGCCTCGGGCAAGCTAAGGGAATGACAGTAGGATCTGTTCCTAAGCGCCAGCTTGCCTTATCCTAGGGTTTCTGCATTCTTATCAGGTAGACTCTTTCATTGGGGTTAGAGGGTAGTGGGAGATTGCTTGAGCCTAACATCCAGAGTTCTCGTACGAAAAGGCTCGTCGATTCCTCGTCCACCAGGGTTGGGTCTTGGCTCTCTCTCTCTCTCGTGCGCGCACGAGCATGTAAGGTTGTAATGTACATAAACGGGAATGAATCTTCCCGCTTTTACGAGAAGATTCGCCCGTTGTGAGAATGAGGACTGCGTCGGCGGGTGGGATGAAGTCAACACAGAGAGAGATAGAGAGAGAGGGGGGCTCGTTCCACTACTCTTGCAATGTCCAGAACGAGAGTGAATCTTCCACTAGAGCATGGCAAGATACATTGCCATGATGTTTGTCTTTTGTGCATGTTGAGAGTAGTGGAGCGATGCCCAGAGAGGTGGAACGTTGCGCGGCTTGCTGCGTTGAACGCGTCAGCTCTCTCTCTCTCTCTCTCGCGCGCCCCTCCGCCCACACCCATTGCTTTTTTATTTTTATGAACACCAAAATTTCATTATATCATAATTAAAAGGGGGCCGGAAACCTGCACGCAAAACACATGATTGAAATCAATCAACCCGTCGTTATGCCACGGCCGACACACTAAACATTTGCACAACCGACGACGATTTTGGGCAGTCCCTCCGACCGGCACACTAAACAGGTGCGCACTGCACAACGTTCCATCCATAGTGAAGCCCATCACGACCAGCCACGTGTACATGCGCCCTCGTTCACACAAGCAACGCCTCCCCCCCCCCCC